AATAGGGAATTAAGAACAAACGTCATGGTTTTATTATAAAATCGTATTAAATATATTTACTGGAAGATGTTCACGGTCTACTGTACAAACAACATATGTAAAAATAAACAATCAGGAAACATACATTTGCTTTTTCTGCATTCTTCTGAAAAGCTGTCGTTCAATTTTGTTATGTCGAATTGAATTCCATAGTCGCCTTTTAGCCCTTCGCCATTACTTACTTTTTCACCCCCTAAAAAAAGCCAACAGTGGCAGCTCTAGGAAACGCATGTCTATCAGAATCCGACAGAAACTTAAACTCACTCACTTTTTCGCACAAATGACTCCAGTAAATCTGAATCGGTTATTTATTTGTTTCTTACCTGGCCAGATTGGAGGAGGCGCGGAGGACACGAGGTGACAGCTGGAGTTCAGAGGAGGAGAGTGATGTTGAACTGGATGACTGACTGCTGACTGACGGAGTGTATACGCTTCTCACGCTTTATCATAAACGCCCAACACACAGTCGGACCCAGATTCCCGCTTCTTGAACTGTCGCTTCCTCTCTAAAAAATAAACCTTAAAAACACTCGCACCAGACGCAACCGCAACGCGCTTAGCTGTGTAGTATTTCCAGTTGAAGAAAGAGGTAATGAAATCTTTAAAAAAAAATACTCGGGATACTTCGACATGTCCCGAAGCCGTATGTCTCCCTCATCTGGCCGCTGGTGTGTAAGTGTAACAGACTGGCAACGTGCGTAAAATGTGCTCTGCCGTCTCCAGGACGCAGCCCTCATCAATCCCTCTTCTCACTCAGACATGCGTGCATTTGGAATTTAAAGTATTACGTGGTATCATGGATGTCAAATTCACTAAGGAGATTACCTGCAGGAGTAGGCTATTACTTTTATATTATTTGGAAACTTGTGTAAAGGCATGATGTATAAGGAGTCAAGATCTTTATGCTGTATTTTACATGCAGTGGTGGTTGTAGACCAATTGTATTGGTGGGCCATATGACCAGTTATTTTATGAGAGGGGCACACAAATGCAGGAGAACAGAGAAATATCTAGTCCAGTATTAAGTCATAGTGTACAAAACAACAACTCACAAAAGACCCTGATTAGTGTTTGTTTCAGTTATATAATTTGTGTTAATAATTATTTGTATTAAATTGCAATTACACAAATCCAAACACATTCCCAGAACTTTGGCTCCAATTACAGCCCAGTATCAACACTATCACAAATGATATTATCATAGACTCTTTTTTTCAGTTGTCTTTCAGAGGGGGGGGGGGCACAGGGGGTTCCAAGCTCAGTGTTATGGGGGCACTGGCCCCTGTTGCCCCCTCCCTAGAACCGCCATGCTTACATGTTATTCCGATGTTCTTTTTTACACAGGTTTATCCTGTGTTGTGTATTATTTCAGATTATTTTTGCTTGACGTACCCATACCGTTTGTTGGCATGTTGTGTAAGGAAAGAGAGGAAACTAAACCTCAGTGATTTACAGTAGCATTGTAGATGGTAAATGGCTCTATTAAGGAAGAGTAATTGGATGCATGTAACCTCTCTCACATTTGCACCAACCTGCTGACCTTGACTGTGGATTCACCTCCAACAAAGTGAGAAGAGTTTTCTTACTTTGAATATGTGAAAGCTTTTCAAATATTTTCCTCTAAGAAAAACATTCTTGGACATCATCACAAATAAAGAGAAACATTTAAATGACATCAATACAGCAACAGGTCCTTGGTTTCGATGTTGTGGTTTTGATTGGTTGTAGATACGCTTCTTTTTGTTTTCTTATACTGGAATTTAAAGCTATCTACAGGTTCTCAAGCTCTACATATTTCAAAGATATATAAGGATTAAAGTGATTTATGTTTTTTTTTTTACTATTTTCTCAATTAATGACTTCATTCTTTGCTCCATTTTCATAAATGTGTGGGGGGAAAGCATTATCAGTTCCCAGAGCCAAAGAGGATGTCTTCAGATTTGTAAAGGCGGCAAATCCTCTCATTTGAGAAACTGAAAGCAGACAATTTTGACATGTAATGAAAAACTACTTTATAAAATTAGCTAATTATAAAAAGAACATGTTACATTATGTGACATAACATTAATGCCCATCTTTTTGTCTTTGTACAATATTCTCTTTAATCCATGCTGTGAATTGCTCTTCCAATGAAACACATATTTGTCAACCCTTGTCCAGCTCTTTATTTAACCGATTATATTGTAGTTATTTCTATTCATATTTGTATATTTATAAACACATTTATTATATATGTTATATTCTACATTGTTGTTTCTTGCAGTGAACCAAAATCCTTTATATATGTGTATGTGAATTCTGAAAGAAGTGACCAATACATTTTCTGTCAATCCACTACAATACATTTAGGAAAGTGCAAAAACAAAAAATCGAAGTGATATTTTTAATCTCTGAATGATTTTGTCGGCAATCTGAAGAATCAAAACATCAGTGCGAAAATCTAAGTGTCATGAAGCGACATCACAATGAATCACCTCAACATTGGTTTCTCCTGTGAGTTCCTTCAGTTTACTCTTTAGGCCGTGAGTGTAAATTCCGTAAGTGGCTGGATCTTAAATACAATACGTTCAAACTGCAGTTGAGCAGACGTGCTGGTGCTGTTTAATCCATTCCTCTGACATTTGGAGCTAAGTGCAACACTTCCTCTCCCCTTCTCAGGCCCAGGCACCTGTCTGGACAACAATACCTGCTTGAATCCTTCATCACACAACTCTTTAAATCCCCCTTAATCCCTGAAATGTAGATCTCATGTGTGTTCCAGAACGTTAGTTTGCATGCAAGATTTCTTTATAATGTAGTTCTGCTGTGTTGCAGCATATACCTTTGCAGCTTAACCTACATAAGTCCATTGATCCGTGTCTCACCAACACAAGTCTAGTATGTTAAGCATTGCCTAATCTGTCTCATGCTACCTGGATTTTCATATTGGAGAAATAATCCTGATGAAGTGGAGGGGGGGGGGGGGGGGGGGGCCGAGTCACCTCAGGACCTGTTTAAAAGCTTCTTATCGGAGACCTGCACTCCCACCATTTAACTAAAAAGGGGAGTGATAGCCTTTCAACTCACAAGCCGCAGCTTTAATTAAAGCGGCTTGTAGGGAGATCAAGTCCAGTGGTGTGTATGAGTTGCCCCGCAAAAAGAATCTAAATTACATCAAACAACAGAGCTCAGTCCGGAGTGATTTCCAAGTATATTACTAAAGAAAAAATCCCCAAATTAATCTCCTAAACTCCTAACACACACTGAGTGTACCAAACGCTCAGCAACCAGAGACAAAATTGTTTTAAAGTTATACTTTAAAACGTTTAAATGAGGGGATTTAAAAAACATGGATCTTCCTTAAAAATAATTACACAAGAGAGCTATGACAATTGTAAACAGAGCTTATTTTAATGAACCACCCAATATATTATTAAATAATCACATGCCCTTGTATTTAGGGACTTCAAAACAGCACAATTAACTATGGAGTCAAACAAAAGGATAATTTAAGACTGTTAAGGTGTTGTTCCAAAAAATACTCAATATGAAGGAATTAGACATTGGGGACAGATACATTATTGATGACAGATTTGACGACTTTCATATTTGTAATTTGGGTTTCTAAAACCTGTTAACATGCTTCTGATGTTTTTTTAATTGTTATTCTCATAGTCTGTGAATATACCTCCATTTCCTTCCATTTTGAAACACATTGTTTTAACACCTGTCTCTTTAAACCCCCGTTGTTATTGGAGACACTCTGATGGAGGGCGGTATATATTCTGAGCCTGCACGTGAAAAGATGACCTGCTGAAGACTGTGATTTCCGTCTGAGGCAACCATGATGTGATTAAGCAAAAGCAAAGATCAGTCACAAAATGCAAATCTAAGTCAACATTTTCTATTCATGACCCCTTCAGATGTATCTTGTCACGGGGAGGAAGAGAACTAAACTACCCAACTGTTTATAAGAAGTGAAACATTTCCCCATCTCTACCAGCCCCCAAAAATGCTATACTCACAGTAGTGTGTCTTTTAAAAGTACATTTTGGTGTATATACCTTTACTGAAGTAGGAGTTTAAATATAGGACTTTAATACTGTTGTACTGGAACTGGATATGTATACTCCCTATCATACTTGTGTCAAATCATTAAGCATTTTAACATCCTATATTTTTCTAAGCTCGCTACTGGAACTATGAACTGCACTCTAAATCACTCTCTCCTGGCCCTCCGCAGTAACATTTTGTTTTTGAGCCAATGCTAAACTTGATTTGTTGTCAGAGGGTGGTTGGCGTGGGCATTTCCTCTCTCTCATTGAGGCTGCACTTTGTTGAACTTTTGCTAACTGGAAAAGGTTTTTGTGTTCAATTTGCTTTACAGCTTTGATGAAATGCTATGTAAGGGATAATGTGCAGCAACGCGGTCATTATGGGGAATAGAACACCGACAGGCTGATCAGGAGCCCGACGCGAAACAGTTTGCTTTTCGAAGCCCAACGGTATACAGTTAAATCGACCGGACTTCTTTCTGAAGATGTGAGCGTCCTTAACAACGGTCAATAAGTCCTTGACAGCGGTCTGTCTGTTCGGTATTAACAACGTGTCACGTGTTCTGAATTGACCAATCAGAATCGAGTACTCAACTAAGCCATGTAATAATGCTTGCTAACAAACGTTTGGCTGCAATATAGGGCAGGGATAAAGCTTTACTTAGTTGCTCAAATTTTAATACACGACAGGAATAACAATAATTCATAAAAATACCATATTAGCTCATTCAGTGACTGGTAATAGCAATTGAAATACCAAAACAATTTGCGCTAGGCATCAGGGAAGAAAATGTAATCATAAACATTACTACGCAGTGTGAGAAACTCTTTCAAAACTTCAGGTAAAGGCCTGATAAAAGATCAAAGTCTGCACAAAACAAATGAAATAAAGGTCATTTTCTTTAAAGGAAGGAAGAGGAAGCAGTATTTGTAGCCAAAATTGTTTATTTTCCTTTTAGTTTCCATCAATATTCTTTTTTTGTCTTTACATAAAGCTTGTCACAAAGGAATACATTCATTAGGCAGGTCAAGAAAAAATACAAATAAGAACTAGCTGGCAACCGATTCTGCTTAACAATCCAAAAAAAACAAGGCAACTGCTTTTAAGAGCAGCCTATAGTCCTACCTTAACTGGCTCTAGCATTGATGAACAGAAAAACAAAAGAAAGGTAAAACGATGACGGACAGAAATCGGTCGCCATTTAAACTGTAATAATGGATAAGCAACAGATGAGTGAGCAAGGGAGTATTTACTAGTGTTTGGATCTTGCTAAAAAGCAGTGTTACACACAAAGCGTTGCTACTCTACTTTTTCTCACTGAATTCTCAATGACAGAAACCCTGTATTGAAGGAAGTAAAAGATGTGTGAAGGAAAAGAGAGATGCTGTGCAGGTCATCGGTTGGAGAAAAGAAACTTTAGTAAAAAAACAGACTGACATGTTATTGTGAAAAATTATAATTGATTGCCAACCATCACTTCTGCTGCAATCTGGCAGCTTTAAACTTGGACACCCTCTTCGGGGCCTCCTGGGGGGGAGCTACTTCAGACGCCACCTCCTCCTGCTTCCTCTCCATGATGGTGGGCAGAGCTGGTGGAGCGAGGGTCAGGTGAGGAACAGCTGTAGGCATCGGGTCCTTTTCCACCACTGTACCTGAAAAGGCCTGGAGGAGAGAGAATGATTGTGGTAAAAGCTGGTGTGAAGGTAGAATTAGATAGAGGTACTTTATTGATCCCAATTTGGGAAATGTTTGCGTTGCAGCAGCATAAAAAATAACAAAACAAGGCATTGCACAACATAACATAACATTTTCCTGCATGAAATTTAAAAAAATGACAAGATGTTATATATTTTTTTCGGTTGTGTGAAATCTAGAGAAATCTTTGAAATCAGGGTAACGGTGCTTTTCATTGGTCAGCAAGTAATTCCTTTGCGCATGTGTCAGCATTATGGTTGTCAGAATTTTTTATACATTTTTAAGCCACATTGTTCCAATTTTCCTTTAGATCTTAGCTGTTTATGACTATTTATTCAACCAGATTAAGGATTTTAGTTCTTTGATGCCCGGATCTTAAATTATCAAAGAAACAAGCTGAGCAAATATAAGCAGCATGTGTTGACTGAACAGCCTTGGAGGAACACCATTTCTTTTTCTTTTATGTGAATTTGCTTTATTCAATGCTTTTAGTGTTTTTTTAATCGCCAGGTCTGCTTGTTTTGGAGAGGAAGAGGCTTCTGTTGATAACGTGGGTCTCGTTAAATAACTACTGAACTTCTGGATCTTAAATCATCAAAGAAAAGGCAGAGCAAACGTAAGGGGCAGCTCGCAGCCCCTACAGGAAAATCTTCGTCCAGCAGCGTTGGTGATAAGTACAACAGCTCTTCTGATTCCACACTACTTCACGACTTCCCCAACTCCCTCTTTAGTTATTGTTTTGCTTAGGATCCCCAGCGGCAGATAATACGTTTACACATTGTGCGTTTACCGTGGTAACACGTTAATGATGGTTGGAGTTTCAGGCTCACAAAATGCTTCCTACTGTTTTCATGCTGTAATTTCTTCTTCATATCGTCTCGTGTGACTAACATTTAATATCTGTTTGACCGAATGCAGCCCCCGTTTCAACTTAAAGAGGCTTCTGTGGGGTTTTGTTCATCCTCATTAAGGGATTTGAGGCTCAGAGGAGCAATTTAACAACAGTTTCATAACGTAGCAATATTGCAGATCCCTCCACACTGTAACTGAGATTAAAGACATTACACTGAGCAGATCTAAGCAGTAGTGGAACTAAAACTAAAAAACATGTGTATTGCTTACCTCAAACCGACTGGCGGGGTGCAGTGGGACGGCGGTGGGACTGTCCTCCTCCGTGAGGCCGTCGCTTGTGTCGCTGTGCGTCGTGTCGTCGTGGCTGAAGCTTCGTCCAATCATACGGCGCTCATCAAAGTCTGCCGCGCTGCTCTCGCTCGTGTCGCTGCACACGCTGTTCTCTCGGCTGCGAGACTTCAGGATGGACTTTCTGGGGATGGGTTCCCCGTTCTTCACGTCCACAAACAACCTGACAAAGACAGCAGACCCGTTTCACCAACCAGAGGACAGGAGCCTCATTTAGCAGACCAAATGACTGTTTTTATATTCCTACATTTAGTTTTTCATTTACCTGTAAATGTCCACTGGGGTTGTGATTTTGTGAAGTTCATGATGTCCATTGTTGAGGCCGTTTTTCTTTTTCTTCTTAGAATGCTGCTCTTTCCTCTCGCTGAACTTCAACATGGTGTTCTTTCCTATGTTTATCCTCACCTGAAGCAAAATACGGAGACAGGGTTAAGAGAAAGTCGCAAACACGGAAATAAGCAGTAAAATTAAAAGTAATGAAGGTAAAACAAGTTCTTGCTATCAGTGATTTATCACTCTGACCTTCTTAGGTTCCATTGTGTGAGAGAAAAGGATGGTAGGCAAACCGTGGCCTTCCTCTTCCTCGTCGTCTTCCTCTGCTATGCTGTCTTTGCACGGCGGCTTTTTACTGTGAGGCGCGGGGGTCCAGCTTGGCTTCACACTTTGTCCGTTTACTGGAGGTGCTGCATCTGCCTCCTTCTCCTCTTCAGAGGATGAGGATTCCTCACCATTCATGTCCGCATTATCAGATAATCTGAAGAAAAAAACATTTCAATGAGACCTTTTTTATTCTGCCTAAGGTAGCAATTATTAAGGTTATTAGGAGAACACCCCTGTGTGTTTTTCTACCTGTCCTGATCATCTTGCTGCTGCTCCAGCTTCTCCAGTTCATCCAACCTAGCCCACAACTCCTCCTCAGTGATGGTGCCTATTCTTCTCTCTGTATCTCCGCCCTCCACTTTAATCTCCTCTTCTTCTTCTTCTTCTTCTTCTTCTTCTAGATCCAAAATGGCATCCAATTTGGGTTTAGAATTAGGTTTGTGTGCTATCCTTTTCCTTCCTGTTAAAGCAAGATGGAAAATAAATTCATTAGCTTTGTTTTGCTTAATGCTAATATGAGTTTGTTGTCAAATTAAACTCTCGTTACTTTCTTTCACAAGGCAAGATAGATAAGTAAAATGGAGACAGAAGAAAGGCAGACAAAGATACCTTTGGTGACAGCAGCTTCGATGTTTCTGGAGTCTTCTCTAATGTCAATATAGTCCCCTTTCCCCTAAAAAACAAGCAAAGTCAATATACCTTTTAAGTGATAGGTAATATCTCATCTGCGAGAAGACTTGCAGTAACGCAACATACAGACGAGATGTTTTCCAAATCCTTGGTGAGCCCGACTCTGGCTTCAAAGTTTTTCATCGTCTTTGAAAGATCGTCCATTTCACTCTTCACATCTGCAGAATAAAAAAAAAGGGTACATTATCATTCAACATTAAGAAAGTTGGAAGCATTCTGACAAAACACAATGGCTGGCTGCAGGCTAATGGAGATTTAAATAAAACATTTAATGGCAACCAGCGGCGAAAGAGTTAAAATACTAAACAAGTTGAGGGGAAAAAAAAATTGGAAAATGATGACACAAACAGTTCATAATATCTTCTGCCCTGAATACTACTCCGGATCATTAAATCTTGACAACAATTAAGCCCTTTTACTAATAGCAGCAGAGGGCCCTTGTTTCCATGGCGATTGGGAGCTCCTCCAGTCAGTGCATCAACTGGAAGTGAGGAAAGGTCAAACACAGAAGGCCTGACAACTCAGCCGCTGTTTGACACATTTCAGCCAGCTATGTTTGTATTACAGCACTTAGCTCTGTAATAGTGGGGTGGGCCGGGTCAGCAGATAGGAGGGGAGGGGAGGGGGGGGGGGGGGGCAGACGGCTGCGGATGGGCTGTGGCATCGTGTTTCTGCTTCACTAAACAGCCTAATAATGTTCATATCAGAGGTCGTTACTTGGGCCCATTTCACTTGATATGAGATTTTTTCAGACCTAGAACGAGCGGCGGGGAATAAATGCAAGACAAAACACGGCCGTGCATAACCCATGACGGTATAAACACATTTCTTCTCTTCAAAAAGACTTCTCGCACTCGATCAAACAATAATCTTGCATTGACAGGATGGGATTTGACAACAGGAGAGGAACAAAAAGTGTGAATTGACATAGAAGGATTAACAAAAAAAGCAGGGACAGCGGTGACATGAAACAAGAGCAGCGCAGCGCATGAGTGCTGTAGATGTGCTGTGCAGCGTGCAACCCTTTAACCAAATGTGAAATTAAGTACCCGGCATATGACAAAAATCATGCATGCTTCAAGATATCTATGCAATTATGGGAAGCAGCATTACAGTTCACCAAACAGATCCTTAAAATAGACTCAATTTGACAAGTTGTTCCCAAAGTCTTGTGGCAAATAATGGCTCCTCTAAAAGTATGTTTATCACTTCAGTGATTCTTCAGTGGAGCTTGGTGCAGCAACACCCTCTGCTGGAGGAAGAGGAGCAGTGCTGAGCCGTTACTTTGAGAATAAACAGTGTCTTTTCAAAAACAGACTCACATTTCATCCTGTGATCCACAATTTTCTGAGCCTGCTTGGTGGAGCACTTGGCGAACCAGTTGTCGCCGAGCAACGCTGTGACCTCGTTGGTGTGCACCAGCTTCCCCGGCATGAAGGCCAGAGGGCCAAAGGGCACCTGTTTATAGCACATGGGGTGGAACAACAGCAACAGAAACAATGAGCAGGAGTCATGATGTGGACGTGAGGATAGGAGTGAAGAAGAAATAAAAATGCCGCAAAAATATGCATATTGAGGCTCATGAAGCTGCTAAATGCAAAACTTGACATTTACAAAAGACACACAAGTTGTGTAACTGTGTGTTTCTCCTGTGTATTTGCAACAAGGTCAGCACTCACCGTGATGTCATAAGAAAGCTGATCTGGAAGAGTTTTAAGCCGGTCATTCAGCGCTTCATAGTCACCTGCCAACTTCTTCCTGCAGAAGCACAGATTCACAATGTTAGGCAAACCACTATTCAAATAAACGTTTTTTTGTTTATTTATTTGAAGTCACAGATGTCCTCTGAGCCATTGTTATCCAATTTGGTTTGTTGGACTTATTTTTGAAGGTTAAACAATTGGAAGAACAATGGGAAGTAAAAAATAGCTATTCAGCAATTAGGAAGTGCCTGTTTCCCCCTTCAGAGGGGGCGTTAGAGAAACTAAAGTCGCCTCAAGATGTCCCTGGTATACATTGATTTTATTTATTTTTAGAGAAAATCATGATGATAATACTATGCTATACAACACACCTTTCTTGCTGCAGGTTAAAAAAAAAGAACATAGCTATGTACAGTTACTCTTAAAAAAATATTTTACGATTAAAACCTTTTTTTGAGACGCCCTACTTTCTCCAATTTCATGCCTGCAGGTGCAATTACAACATTCATATTGAAACAAGCGAGAACTAGTTTATGATGTTTTATTGCTCTTTCAAACTTAAAAAATATCTGTATTCAGTTTACTTGTAAAGAGGGCCTTGCACATTGACTGAAGTGTTCAGTTAATCGGCCTTGTTCAGATGTAATGATCGGCAGAACCAGGCTTTTCATTCAGTGCACCAATAAGAATGGTACATTTATTTTGGTCTGTCAACAACACAAACAGGTGAGTCACAGAGAAGTCAAGTATGCACACGCCTCCAGACTCACAATCAGCCCGACACATTGGAATACTGTGTTTGAGGTCCAAATACTTATTTTAGTAAAAACTGCAGTGGCCTTTACAAGGTTACTGTAACGTGTAGTATGCCAGTAATTGAGATATAGTACTCAGTCCTTACATGGTGCCTTGAACTTTGACCTTTTCTGCTCATCTGCTGTGCAGAGTTACAGTAAATAACACTACTGCAGACCACTGCTTGCATCAATACAAATACATTTGACTGTATAGTTACACTATAGTAGAGCTCCTACATGAGTTATGGTCCACTCACACAGGTGTTACCACTTTGTATTTCCTCTACTTGTTGTTGACATCTACTACACTCTTGTGTGAGCTTTGTTGCATCTGTTTGAGTGAATCATTCAAACAGACCAGTGGACATAATAAAGTTAATGATGGCTTAATTCCATTTAGCTGCTTTCAAGATCCTGGTGTTCTGCAATATGGCTCAATGTCAAGGATCACCGGGACACTTAAATACAACAGAGCCTTGTTCTCGTCCACAAATGTGGAAAACTGTCTTTGGCACATCTGGATTAGGCTATCAGACTAAATACCACTGTGCAGTGTGCAGGGCCTAAAGGTTGATTGTGTTCTAACAATGCTTCTCCTTCCAACTACAAGTGTGCTTGGGATTAAGGATAAACGGGCTAATTATGGCATGCTTGAAACAAATGCCACTGATTGGTCAGGGAGTGTCTAATTTGTAGATTTAGACCACAGCCAGCACTCTAAATACAGAGCATCAATATTGCAAAGAATCATTCTTGATTATGTAGGGAAGAAAAAAACCTCAAGGCTATTATTATAAAAAAAAAAATGAGGCAGCCCTAAATGGATCTTTAAAAATTATGATTCGATTAAATACAAACTTCCCTGAAAAAAAGAAGGTGGATGATGACAGAAGCTGAAATATTATTATAATTGGATCACTTAGGGATAAGCAAGGGCCAGGCAAAACAATTACTATGTATACATTTGTTAAACGCTACAGAGTTGAGCAGAACATTTAAAAAAAAAATCCTCTTGAATGTGTTTTATTTTCACAGATATGTTTATATTTTGTTATTTATTTCTCAAAGGAACTGAACATATGCTTTTTGCTACTTTGTTTATCATCAATATTTTTAACAGTGTATTACAAAGACAAGAAAAAAAAAGTATAGAAAGATATCACTATGCAACTTTTGACAAAGTACATGTGATCTTCTTCAAACTTACCAGTGCTGAATCCGACTTTCACAGTCTTTCACCACCTGTTTCAGACAGATAACTTTAATGAAAATTAAGTTGTCCAAAATCGATGGAATTTACACAGTATTAAGTCAAGGATTGTATAGCCATAACATGTTCTGGTATAATGGAAAATATGATAATTGCAACATGTAAATTGCAAACATACAACTTGTGATTATATTAGGGGTGCACCGAATGGGAAATTCTTGGCCGAAAACCGATACCAAAAATGATTAAGAAATATATATATATAATGTATACATTTTTTACCAATGTTGTTCAGCTACCTGATTATGGAAATAGACATGATTATGGCAAAACTTAACTTAAATAATAATCACTATTATGGGTCCATAAAACATTTATTCAGCACTTTTGAATGCATACAGTACATTTATATATGTCTTGTATTATTGCTAAAAAACATTATATCGCAGTCTTAGTGTCGCCAACTCGTTTCTAATATGCAAAGACAACAAATGCGTCTATGATGTATTTTCGATCAGACGAGATCTCTCTCCCCCGTCTGTGTGCGAGGGGGCGGGGCAGTTTACACACACGCAGCTGCTACATGCAGCGGAGCACACTGCGGAGGTGGCGGAGAGAACGCGCTCCGAGGTGTGGTTAAACTGTACCCGTCTCGATGTGGAGAATACTTGTTACCATAAGTGCAATAAGAGTTTAGCATGTAAGCACGAGCAATTTGTCTAAACATTTAGCAAAAGTGCACCGCATGCAGACGGAGGAATGTACCGGGTTCGACCGTATTTCTAGCAGCTCTGTTGCCCCATCCACGAGTAACGTTTCCACGTCAGGTGTTATGTATGCTAGCAGCAACACACGGAGTTAACTACATTATACAAACATGTGTTAATGATTAGAGGTAACTGAGTTATTTAGTTTGTTAAAATTTCAGCTATTCTGTTTACAGTCTGTCATCAGATTATTTAATACGATTTGTTAAAGGCAATCTCGACAAAGGTCAATGTTCCCCCCTCCCTGTGAGCCAGTTGTGAGCATGGTCGCCGCGTCTTTATTACGTCATCACAACAACACATTAGGTTACCCTTTCGGCCGAAAGGGCCTTTTTAACCATTTTCGGCCGATAATTTTCGGTGGCCGAATATTCGGTGCATCCCTAGATTATATAAGTTAAAGAAACATCACACACAGGGAAATGGAAAAAATACCCAACCAGGAAGCAGGAGAGGAAGACAAACACAGCTGTCAAAACTGCATTCAAATGGAATTGCACAAACATTCCTTCAATGGGATAGATGTTGACACATACAGTTCATGTTAACAAAACATTTCTAAAGTTTTGCTTGCATGACTTTCTCAGTGTTGACTTTATACAGATTCGTATCTAACAAATCGAAAGTTAAAAAGCTCCCATTGTTTTAAAACTGTCACGTGCATCACTTAGTTAACCGTTAGCTAGCAGTTGTCAACAGTTCATAAACACAATACAGGTCAGTTTCACAAAGTGTGAATGCTAACCACTAGCAGTACAAACACAGAGGCACAGAAAAGGACACTAAACACACCCCTTCCTGCAGGCACCATTTTCATTACAAGACCTTGAACATGTGTGTGGCTGCCAGAGAGGAAGCTTCTCGAACAAGCAGACATTGAACTTACAACTAACTAATTCTACATAAACGTGTGTGCAATTAGTGCATAAAGGTCTGTGTTTCATTTTAAAATGCACTAAAGTAGATTTACTGGTAGTTCAAAGACCCTTGCTGATCCACCGCGTGGCCAGCAGCACACTATGGTTGGGCTAACGTTAAACGTTATTAGCTAAATGTTTCATGTCAACTAGTTAAATTACCTTCTCTTGTTCCTCTCGGAGCCTGGCAACTCCTCCGAGATGCTCATTGCTCATTTTACCTTTTTCCGCCATTGTTAACCCAGGTGCACAACAGGAAATTGTGTTATTTGAAACCCCAAAACAAAGCTCAGGGGTTGTTGTGAGTCCTAAAGAAGTGTTTATGAATGCAGCCGCAGCTATTCCTGAGACCCGTTCTGGCCGTAGTCATCAATGGGGCAGTGATAAAGATCCGCACTTTCGGAAGTGATACCATTTCACACTCTCATTTCAAGATTTCTGCATGATCTTCAAAAATATCCACGGTGTTAATCCAAAAGAACAGCAAATATTCCTCGTCACTCTCGCTGCGACGTGCACCTCGGTCCGATGTCAACACAGCATAAATAACAAGGGAACTTCCGCTCATGATTTTCAAAATAAAAGCTATCGTTGGTACCTCGCTTCTCAGTGAGGCTATAAATAAAGTTTATCATTAATGTTATTGAATTAGTATCTAACAACACATTTCGTTAAAAAAGATTCCAATATTCCATCCATATTCCAACAAAATAAGTAAATTACCACATAACACTGTGTCTGTGGCATACAGTTTGCTCTGGGATTATAAAGCCCCTTGGGGTCTGAGGGCAGTTGGCAAACAAGACTTTAGTTAGTACTGTCATCAATTACTGAAAATAAAAAGAGTTAACCCTGTTATTAAATAAGCAAACTAACAAAAATAAATCTTAAGTAAACTGAAGTAGAAGTTTGCAAATATTGGCATCAAATACTAAAAAAGCCATCATTAAAATGTGTTATTGTTTAGTGTTATCATAGCAAATGTTCTATATTTATAAGTTGATTTTATCCTGTTGTGTGCAAATTGTTATTATAAAGCTAAACCTGTATGCTAGGTTTAAATAAACAAAGGGGTGCAAAAAGTACATTTCTGAAACTTAGTTGAGAAGAAGTATGGAGTGGCATAACATGGAGACATTCACGTAAAGCACAAACATCTCAATATTCTCCCCCTTCCCAGTCCACTCCAGTGAAGTCCCCCACCATGCTTTTATTTTGAAGAGACACCAATGCATTTCCCGTATTCAGTTATATAAAGCTATCTTGACGCAGCTGATCCTCTGTGTCCGCCAATGTACTCTGAGTAAAATGGATGATTGCACAAATGTAAACAGTCGCCTTACAGTAGCCAGCCAAGATCCTGCAAAGTCAAACACACAGTAACAAAATAACCAGCACCACCACTGTCAGAGATGTTTTTGTCTCAAAAGTAGCACTGGGTTACCTCTTCATGTAAAAAGGCTTGAAGCTGTACATATATATAGTTCAACATCATATTTTAACCACAAACATGTTCATATATAAGCCAACAAAGCAATCATTAGATATTAAAGTTGGCTTTGTCAGGTCAGTTCTGATAAACAAGTTCAGATATTTTATATAATCAACCTATGGTTCCAGCCCCCTTGTTGTTAGACGCTGATTGGCTGTTCTTGTTGCCTTCAATTGCTGTCGTTAATATGATTTGTAAAGGGGAGCAAATGCTCACAATGGAAACACAATGGACCACGAAACAAGAATAAAAAATCCTTGTAAAAAAAGATCAACTACCCTATTATGATGGGTATAGCCAGAGGTCACTTCATTTGTAAAGGTACTGGTACACCATTTACAAATGTGTTTTGTAAGGTTTGGATTAGGCAGGTCTTAATTTGTTAATTGTTGAACTAATTAATTATCACACAAATTAGTTTAGATTGATCTGAAATATCTGAAAAGTGCATTTGTATCATTATTTAAGTTGATATTAACTTAATAAATACAAAACCCAAACACCTTAATTCATATTTATTATATATTGTTTAAGTAATTCCTCTTTTACTCATTCTTAATGTAGCCTACCCTAGAAAACAAACACCTACAGTATAGAAGCCAGGTAAGTATGTTTATTAGGGGGAACAACACACCTTCAACATTCAAATACATTTAATTTATTGCTGCTACAATACTAGTTAATGTATTCTCTGATCAATGTCATGGAAGTCCATTTGTGCAGCTGGGAGTGAAATATCCTGTAAGTCATCATTATTATGACTTAATATCTCATTATTCATAGTTTTGCAGCTATTGGTTGTTTATCAACCAGAAAGGAAGCAATTCAGGATTGTAGGAGTGTCCCTGAACGCACCATTATTGTGTTCCCATCAGGCATTGCGGTCAGTCATACAAGCCCAGAAATCAAGAGTAACCGACTGACCATAACAACATTATAGAAATAAGACTGACAAAACATATTGATGAGGATTTCCTAACACTGCAAGGTATGTAGATATTAGATAAAATGACTGTGGTTACTACGTGAGGTCTAATGCTATAGATGTGACATTGTGAAACCATAGTGTGAAACCTGTACCTTTGCCTTATGATCCTTTCTGATGCAATCAGACCTATCCACTACTTCACTGGTGTACACAGGATTGCCTTTGAAACTAACTTTAGGGCAACACTATTAAATACATTTAAGACCATGTTATGCTATTTTAAAATTGATTAATGTATGTCAGTGTTTTTTAAGTTAAGTTAAATAGCCAACTACAAATACTTTAAATGGTCAGTTTTATCCAGATTTCTTCTTCTTCGCTGATTGTTAAGTCTTTTACAATTATAAAATATGACTTATCTCACTAAATTCTTCTGATCCACAGTATGTCTCATCGAATTAATGATGTCATGAAGCTGTGTTGTGAGTTATCTGCCCATCAGCAAATCCAGACCACAGTGAAAGGCTCGGGAAAGGGAGCCGCAGCAGCAGGGGGGCTCGCCTTTGCTGGAGGCCTGGTTGGGGGTCCCCTTGGTATTGCAGTCGGTGAGTGGGAAAAAATGAAACTGCTCTTCTTACTTAATTAATTACTCTTAATTAACTTAAATATATGTACAGACGGTACTTCACAAGTTTGAATCCCTCTTCCTGATTTAGGCGGTGCTGTTGGGGGCCTCCTGGGCTGCTGGCTGACCAGTGGACAATTCAAACCTCTGCCTCAGATCATCATGGAGCTCATCCCCCAGCAGCAGCAGAAGCTTTATGAGGGTCTCATGGCGGTCCTGGGGGACATTCAGTGGACAGATGTGCTTCAGTTAACTACTCTAGTGATGGGGAATGCTGCCCTTAAGCAGCAGGCTACAGCCGCCCTCCTCGGGTACATCACCAAGGAGCTCCAGGCGGAGGTGCACTACGTGGATTAGAGTCTGTGGAGTCAGGGGCGCAGAAGGATGGAGCCTTTGAAAAGAATGTGAACTTTTGTTTTGAGAGACTCTTTACTTAATGTAAAATATGATATTTTAAAAGTGTACAGCCACCATCACACTCCTGGATACACTTATGGGTTTAGCAAATTAATGTGGAAAAGCTGTGACACACATCAGTTTAAAGGTGGGGTAGGTCATTTCGGAGAAAACCAGCTCGAGTGCGCTAGAATTTGAAAATACACAGCCAGAAAAAATCTGCCACTTCCTTACAGAGCCCCTCCTCCAACACACACGAACGCGCACATGACCAATGAGGGCACGAGATAAGTTTGTGCACAGATGGAAGGCTGACAGGCAGGTAGGCCATCCAGTTACTTTAGCCGGGCCGGCTCAGATGATTGGTCGTGCTTTTTACAGCGCCACGGCTTCCACAGATGACTTTTCTTTATGGATTTTTCGTCAAAGCACTTAAGATATTCATTGCTATCGGGATGGTAAGAGCATTCCATGGAATATAACAAAAAGTGTATCTCGAGCCGGTTTCTCAAACTTACCTACCCCACCTTTAAGGTACTATTTATTAATAAGCATTAAATGGCACTGACGGTCATGGTTAGGCTACACTGATTTCAATATATAAACACTGGTGATTATGCAATGAATGAGTGCCAACTGTACAATGTGAAATATTTTTGATTTGCTGGCCATTTATTGGCTTTATGACTGGGAGTTCACCATTATCTGTGCACCTTATATCGTATTTAAATTATTTCATCAATTAAAACAAAAGGTTTGTGTTTTTTCACTGACTTATAAAGTTTTATACATCACACTTTATTGGCCTCGTGTCCAACAATAGGGCTTTTTTTTCTGTGTGACAGTTTACATTATTTGCTGCTGCTTTTAGTGGTATGAAAATGTGATCATGTTTGACAGAAAGTCTCTTAAAGGAAAAACAGGGTCCTAAGAACAAGTAATCTACACATTCTTTAAAGTTAGATAACATAACGCTGGTCAAAACACTCCTGCAAAGAAACAACCTTTGGATCTCAGTACAAACTCCTCTTCTGTTTTTACCTTATTTTAACACACTTGTTGAAATTGCCAGAGGCTTTCCTTGATAATTCATCTTATCCCTCTTATTTTGCTCTTTGGGGTACCCGGGTCTCTTTTATGTGTGTATAAATACTGACAACTCAGCTTTATTTAGCTATGAAACTGGCCCCAACCACCACATGAGAAAATGAAGGTAAAGAAAGCCAATTCAAAAAAAGTTATTATTCATTTTATTTTGTCTGATATTTGTTTTAGAGCTTGACTTTTTCCACAGAGCTTTCTGTAACTTTGTCACTTTTTGTGTTGAATAATTGTATTGGCTAAATATTAAATGCAGTTTGAATTGAAGTGAATTGATCCTGATGTAAAAAAGTGATCAAGCTAAATGATGCAGAAAAAACTTACTTTTTACATAACATACGCAAGAACTCAATCATAGAGTTTGGAAATATGTCTTTATTAGTAAATACACATTATTTCACCCCTACCTCTTAAAAGCATCAAAAAATACATATTACAGAGAGGAACTCGGACAGAGCTCCAGTATTTATCCCACCACCACTGTGTCCTCATCAGGGAATTCATAGAAGGGAACTTCCAGGTTAAGAGGAGCGGGTCCCTTTCTTATTCTTCCTGAAGCATCGTAGTGGGAGCCATGGCAAGGACAGTAGTAGCCTCCGTAGTCTCCTGCGTTGGCGATGGGCACACAGCCCAGATGCGTGCACACCCCGAGGACGATGACCCAGCGGGGTTTCTGCACTCTCTCATTGTCGTGCTGGGGGTCACGCAGCTCTGCGATGTTCACAGCCTCCTCTGCGGCGATTTCCTTCTCTGTGCGGTGACGGACAAACAGGGGCTTTCCTCTCCACTTGAAGGTCACGTTCTTGCCTTCGGGGATGTCACCGAGCTTAACCTGAATCTGGGACAAGGCCAGGACATCTGCTGATGCACTCATCGAGGAGACGAACTGGCTGACCACCGTCTTCGCGGCATACACGCCAACGACGGTGGCCGCTCCGGTGACAAGGTAAGAGAAGGTCCTTCTTCCCTCACTGCTCCCCTGGGAGGACTTGTTGGGGTCGGTAACCTCTGGGCGGCGGTAGTCCGTGAAGTCAGGAATCTTGATATCTGTGTGGGAGAGGCGGACCCCTCCTGGAGCTGAAAATGAGACATAAAATGCAGTGTTTAAAGATATGAGCAGCATATTGGAAAATTGATTCAGTATCTAACAAAATAATAAAATACATTTTAAAAAACAGTCATTTCTGGTGCATTCATGTGACAGGGACATTTTATTATCCATCTTAACTTTTATCATGGTGATAAATTCCTACTTTTGATTAAATTAATACAGATGTAATTATTGTATCCATAAACATTAGTCATTATTGATTATAGAAACGAGACAAACTATTTATAACAATATAAAAGTGTACATACGAATTTGTATGTTTTCCCCATGTATATTAGATAACAACCTCACAATATAGCTGCTACAAATATTTACATAGTCCAACTTTGATAGTTGCATAACACAAATCAAAACAACATCAGACATGTAAATGCAGAAACTGGACCACAGCAATGTGTTTTGAGGTGTTTACATATCACAAGTGTATATTTATATACCTCAGACTTCTTATCTATTGTTGACCCCCGGTAAGGTTTGATATGTCAGTTATGACACCGGCTATTTCAAGCTAACCACTGCAAGTTGTATGTAGTAGTGTTAGTTGCACACCAAAAAGGTACAAAATGATACAAACAATTCACACGTTGTCTATCATGAATATATTAACAAATTATTTAAAAACATTGTGTATGTTAAGGTAGCGTTACAGCAAGCAGCTCAATATCACTTTCACTGTTAGCAGACACACACGTCCTTCTCTTGGCCTTACCAGCAGCAGGCACCAAGGTCTTTACTCCCGGGGACAACAGGCTTTTAACTGTTTGTTTTGTCGCCTGCATGTACGGGGTAATAGCCCCGGAACGGGCAGCTATGGACATCATCTTTGCCCAAAAAAGATACCTCGAAACCGGCGCGGGGGACACGACCTTGCGTGTACAAATCTTTACGTGCACCTCCCTGATCTGCTTTACCAGAAACCCGCTCCGCCTATACAAGGTTCCGCAGTACGTACGGTCTGACCGAAGCGTGCCTTTCGTTTTTCTCGGGTTATGACATTGTTTTATGGGTGTTCTTTCATACTTAAATTACAATTGATATATATTCTGTGTTTATATTTTGTAATAGTTAATTTAAAACAGTAGAAACCGTTCATTAATTTAAATAACGGCTTATTTTAGCACAGGCATTTTCTAATTCAGCTGTCAGAGGTCCTTGTGATGTAAACAAGGGTCCTCTCACAAAATATGGAGAGTAGCTACACAATGGTAACCTGAGACAAATAAAAAAAGAAAAGAAAAATGAAAATACCAAAAAGAAAACTTTTTCTACTAATCATTTTTGCGTATGTGGCATTTTCACTGTATGCTGCATACAATGTCTTCTTCAGCACCAAAGTAATCTCCCGTGTTCACCGGGTGGTGAAGAAAGAGACAGTCTCGGGTAAATTCACGTTAGCTAGCGCAGCCGTCACCTAGCCCCGATTCCAAATAAGCGGCCTGCGTTTTTCACAATGAAACTCGTTTCTATTTTATTTTGGAAATAGAAAATGAGTGCCAATACAGTAAATGGAAACTGTTTGTTGTATTTGCAGGTGGTGTCAAAGATGGTGGTGGAGCTCCATTTCTAGCGCGTGATTGGAATCCGTGGGAGGACGAACAGGTGGACTACAACTCTGCTTTGACCAAGAAGAGGGAGGCCTTCAAACAACACCTGGCCCGCATTGACAAGAACAAAGCCACAAGATACAGGGTACAAATCTGGGGCAAAGCTGCTATAGGTAGGTCGTGGTATTATCAGATGTCATCAATCACAGCCTGAGGAGAAGATATGTGTTGGTGTAGTACATCACTAGATAGATGCACTATGAATGTCGTTTTGCACTATGGATTTAGTTTTACTTTATTTTGAATTAGATCACAGCTAAAAAAGTTCGTCATTCCTGTGATTGGTGATTTGATTTGTTTATTTAGCTTTATATCAAGGTATGTTTTTATTATATAGAATGATACAGTGGCACAGAACTGTATTCTTCACTGAAGATGGAGTGATATAAATACAGAACCTCTGCATACATCATTGAAATGTATTAAACTCATAGGTATATTTAGTGAATGTATGTATTAAATATCTGAAAATCTAAATGTTATTATTACATCACAGTTGTAGGGGAATTGCAGAGGGCAGGAACACCTTTGATGACGAAGGCAACAATGTTTGTATTGAAAAGAACATTGTATTGTATTTTCATTTGTGGTTGTGCTTTTAAACTAAATAAAATAGTTTTAAACAAATGTAGTTTCCTGAGGTCCAGAATTAAAAAGGCTACTATCAGGCACATATCATAGGAACAAACACCATATGCAACTATATCTCAAAAGTGTTTAGAAAAAGTCTCCAGCTCATAATACTTATTTGCAGTGGCGGCGCCAGGGTATGGCTGGGGTAGGCTACAGCCATACCAAGAAATTGCTTAGCCCCACCTCAGCCCCACCATGAAAAATGATGTTAAAGTAAGCAAATTAAATTAAATAATAAGCAAAATGCTAAATGTTGAGAACACGGCTTGCAAAAATATACGGGTCGTGTCCACAACACACAAACTGATCCTGCTGTAACAACAAGTGCACGTTACTGATGCAATATAGTTGAGACCATTCGGGGTTATGCTAGAAGAGGGGTACAAGGAATAGTCTAAGTAGTGGGGAGCTTTATACACTAAAGGTGTGGAAATTCTCTGGCGTTATAATATCAGCGCGGCCGCGGTCAGATCAAAATGCCTCCGAATGCAATTTGAATAGGCAAGGCAAGTTTATTTATATAGCACCTTTCAACACAAGGCAATTCAAAGTGCTTTACAAAAAACAAAAGACATTAAGAAAATGGCATTTAAAATCAGTCATTAAAAAGATAATAAAATAAACATTAAAAGAAAAAATACATGGATAAAAGAATAGACCTACAGCCAATCAGAGCAACGAAACGTTGGGTCTGCGTCATGCATTACTGATTGAGATCAATCGGAACCGCCATTCAGTATCCCCATTGGATCTTCAACGTGTACTATCATACGTCACATTCAGTGATCCCTTTTTATTTACTACAAGACAAATGTGCCGTTTTATTTCATACAGGTCCATTTTGATTGAGACAGGGAAATAATCTAAACCTCACACGTGGCGTTTCACTGTCAAGTGGGGAAATATAGCGTGTAAGTAATTACATTGCAAATACTGACTTGAGCCCCACCACTGTATGGGTTAGCCCTACCATAGATTACCCAAAAAAAATACTCTGGCGCCGCCACTGCTTACTTGAAACAACATCTTGGAGAAAAACAACTGGGATCTATTTATCTTTTGGATTGATAATGGTACCCTCCACTTTGCTGCTTGGCTCAATTGGCATTAGTAGGTACTGTGTACTGTATACACCTGATAATACTATGTTCACACAAGATGTAGTTGTATATACAAATTACATGCATTTGATATGTACCCTGCTGTGGAAGCCTGATAGAGGTACAACATAATGGCACTGTACATGTTAACATTTGAACTCAAATTCCAATGTCCCATTCTTTTGTCCTCAGGCATTTATCTCTGGGAACATATTTTAGAGGGACCCCTCAACCCTACTGACAAGGTCGC